ACACACACACACACACACACACACACACACACACACACACACACACAAATCCCCATTAAGGAGTAGGTACTGTTTCATTTCTGTCTTTATGTCTTAAGGATTTAGCTCTCTGACAAAAGTTGACGCTTAACAAATGCATGTTAAATGAATGAATGGAATTTGACTTGCCTTTAAGTGTCTTCCCTGTGGGAGGTGCCCTCTTCTGACCACACTATAACTTATTAGTGTCTTTCCTAAAATGTAATGCCCCACCTTAACCAAAAGGTATTTGTACCAGCCCAGCAAGAAAAAAATTGTCAATATCTCATCTGATCCTCATAACATCCCAGTAAAGTAAGTTATGCAAGTGGTATTATCTCCATTTTACAGATAAAGAAACTGAGCTTCAGGGAGGTTAAAAACAAAGCTAGTTGGACATTATGACTTCAGAAAGGTATTCTGACTTCCAATCAGAAGCTCTTTCCACTTTGCTATTTGTTCTTCCAGTTAGGTCAGACAAGGTTCCCCAGTAAATAACTTTCCTTTCTAGTACAAGTGATAAGTAAGAAACGCTTCAGGAGTATAAGCTCTTAAATACAGGAGTAAGAAGGTCATCTCAACATCTGCTTATTCTTCAGTAAGCCTCCACTCTTCAAGTGACTGCCACTCATCTGGGGGTTGGGATCAGACAGTAGAAGAGCTGGGAAAACCCAACACACTCATTTTTTTTTCTTGATTCTGTAAATCAGTTCTTCCTTCCATGTCTACCTAGGTTTTCCTCCAACAGCCTTTACTTCTCTTTCTTGATTTTAAGCTGAAGTTCCATTTCTTTTTTAATCCAACTGTCTCTCCAATTGTATAATATGAAAGCCTAGGACAAGGGGGACTATTCTTCAGGGTTCTGTAGCTGCCTTTTTTCTCTCTGGTCCCACCAATTCACTGTTGATCAGTGAACAGATTTCTATCTAGGACACAGAAGGAGGAAGGGTTTCAGAGAACATAAGCAGCACCTTCTAGGCTATCATTATGCTTTTCCTACTGGGTTTTTATCACTGTATTATGCTGCATGCTCTGTCTCAGCCAAACAGAACAATTTGTGAGCACATGAGCTGAGATTATGTTTGTATTGTGTATAGCTGCTTGCTTGTTTTGTAACCCAGCAGGACATACACCTAACACTTCAAGCACTGTACACAAATGAAATCTTAGCGAAATTACACTATCATTATGCAGCAAGGGTGCGGGAGGGCATAATTCCCCTTACAATTTACTAAATGTAAAAACATTTTAAAATGATTTCTGAAAAGGTCATAAAAGAGATGGACATTAATGAAATGTAACATAAAGTAATGTAACATAAAGAAAAATGAGTTCTATCCATTTCACATGTTGACTGCTATAGTCATTTGTCAGCTATATCTAAATCTACTGTTATGTTGCTTTTAAAAAAATAATTTATTTTTAGTTTTCAACAATCACTTCCATAAGCTTTTGAGTTTTAAATTTTCTGCTCCTCCCTCCCCACCCCCCTTCTCTCGATGGCATGCAATCTGATAAAGGCTCTACATATACATTCCTATTCAACATATTTGCACATTAGTCACGTTGTAAAGAAGAATTAGAACCAATAGCAGGAACCACAAGAAAGAGGAAACAAAACAAAACAGAAGAAAAAAAAACACAAAAGAGCAAATAGTATGTTTCGATCTGTATTCAAAATCCATACTTCTTTCTCTGGATGTGGATAGCACTTTCCATCATGAGACTTTTGAAGATATCGTAGATCCTTGTATTGCTAAGAAAAGCTAAGTCTATCAAAGTTAGCCATCAAATAATTGTTGCTGTTACTGTGTACAATGTTCTCCTGGTTCTGCTCACTTCACTCAGCATCAGTCCATACAAAGCCTTTCCAGGTTTTTCTGAAGTCTGCCTGCTCATCATTTTTTGTACCACAATAGTGTTTTATTACATTTATATACCACAACTTGTTCAGCCATTCCCCTCAATTTCCAATTCTTTGCCACCACAGAAAGAGATGCTATAAATATTTTTGTACATGTGGGTCCTTTTCCGATGCCCTAGAAATGCCCTAGAAGTGGCACTGCCGGGTCAAAGGGCATTTTGTAGCCCTTTGGACATAGTTCCAAATTGCTCTCCAAAATGGTTGGATCAGTTCACAATTCCACCATGTGTTTCTTTCAATGGAGTGTTAGAGGTGGGGGTGGAGCCATAACTATCAAATTTGGCCTTAAGTGCAAACACTGTCCAAGACAAACACTACCAAGTGGGGCAAGCAGCATGAAATTCATCCTCAAATCTGATTTGCAATTCATGATATGAAAATAATACAAAGATTAAGAAAAATTCAATGGAGTGGGAGGGAGAAATAGTTACAGTGGTTTGGGGTCATGATATCCAAAGTAGGAGCCTAAAAAACCCCAATATGAATGACCCCAAGGGGGTGGTCTGAACTCTGGGCCAGTGTCCAGTGAGTAAGAGCCTGTCCCTCTTCTCTTTTCAGTTTTGATGGGACAGAATAAGCCACATGGGATGAGCAGACAAGGATGGATTGTGATCTGCATCGCAGATCTCATTTACATTATCTTCCCTCTCTCCAACCCCTAATCTCAACTGGCTTCTTCAGAATTTCCCTAGAGCACCATCAAAGGCACCATAGCTCTCTAGTCTCCTATGTTCTTGCTATATTTGCTATCTTTGACTAAAACTATTCTTTTTCAAGTTACCAGTTGGTACCTCCTTTGTCAGATATGCTAGAGTTTTATCAATCTCCATTTTTCTTTGCTGCTGTGCAGTATATGACACTATTGACCACCCTCTCCTCTTGGAAACTTATTCTCTTCTTTTTGGGTTGCTAAAAAATGATATAACTATGTCACCTATAAAAACTCTGTAAAATGAGCTAGAGAAGAAAATGGCAAGCTAGGCCAGTATCTCTGCTAAGAAAACCCAACTGAACAACAACAAACATATATATATATATGTATATGTATTTGTGTATTTATTTACACATTTATATTTATATCTTTGTTATCTTCTCAGCAATGACAACCATTAAAACCAAATATTGGTTACAACCAGAAGTTACAACCAGACCTTCAAATCACAGTATGGCAAAAGTATTAAATCTGTATATCCAATCATATTACTTTCATTAAAACTGCATTTCATTATTTATATTTTAAACATAATTTAATAATTTTTATAAATTTCATTATTTAATATTTCATTGATTACATTTTCAGTGACAGCAAAATACTACTAATGAATAAAAAATATTTTCAAAATGTTATTTCATCTTTACCTCATATTTTAATGACCATTTTGGTTAAGTTTTATAATGTCCTTGACTGTTAGTTTGGTAATACATATGCATAATTTATAAATAAGCAGATATACACATATGGGAGTATGTGCTCAAAAACTTTTTACTTATAAAGTGAGCAATTTTAAAAGCTGGGAGAATAATGCTTAAGGGGGGCATAATTTCACAATCTGGAAGATATCTCAGAAGTCAATTAGTCCAATTTGTATCTTAATAAGAAACCGTTTTCTAACATACCCTTTTGGGTTGGCTACTGGTAGTAGCCAACCAGCCTACCAGTGATAGTGTCTAATGAGGGGGACTCCTCCCTACAAGGCAGCAATTCCACCTTTGATAGATCTAATTTTTAGAAAGTTTTTCCTTACATTGAACCAAGATCTGCCTCTTAGCAGTTCCCACCCATTAGTCCTAGTTCTGCTTCTAGGTGATGAGCAGAACAAAGCTAATCCCTCTTCCATGACAGTCTCTCAATTACTGGGTGACATCTATCAAGTTCCCCCAAATTATCTTTTCTTTAGGCTAAACACCCGGTGATCCTCCCATAGATGGTGCCAAGGTCTCATAATCCTGACTACCATCCAACTGACACTATCAAGGTTATAAATATCCTTCCTAAAATGTGGTGGTGTCCAGACATGGCAGATTATAGCAGGGTCTTCACCTTCTCTGTTTTGGACATTGCCTCCAGTGCAACCAAAGTTGGCATTACTTTTTTAATTGTCATTTCATACTTTTTATCCATATAAAGCTTGCGGACTGCTGATCTGTGGACTACGTATCTTTTTTTCTTGTGAATGATGGTCTAGCCATCACACCCTTCCTATCTTGTCTTTAGGAAGTTGATGTTTTTTTTTTAATCCATGGATAGGCATTAAATTTATTTCCATGGACTCACTGCTCCCCAGTTCAAACTGTATTTTCCTGCCCAGCCCCTAGGTTTGTGGGTTACTCTGTGGAATTTTGGCATCGATCTCTGGATTGGCTTACCCGGTTTGTTTCCTGGTACGTTGCGATTTTGTCCTACAGCAGCAGAGGCGGGGTGGGAGGGTGCAGGAGCCTTCTTATCTTGCGCTTGGGAGTTGTCAGATGCTACAAAGATAGGCAGGCAAAAAGGAGACATGTTTAGTCCCTTACTATAGAAACACTTCCATTTTAGAGTTTGGTCAGGTTAATACCCTACTTTTCCAAATAATTATGCAATGACTCTACAGAAGTAGTGTGTCTTCTGAAACAAATATGGTGGCTTTTTTTTTTCCTTCAGGAAAACATTTGCTTTCCCTCGGTTTCACATTGATGTTACCTTACCTTAATTAGGCCCTCACTTCAGCAAGATTTTAACTACTTCCTAAATGATTCACTATTCCACTGTGCATGGAAACCATTCTATACCTTCCCTTCATTCCTCAAACCTCTCAAAAGTCAGTCAGTTGGTATATAGTTTGTAAATATTTGTCTGCTTATTGACTTCCTCTATTAGATTGTAAGCTCCTTGAAGGCAGGGACAATCCTTTGCCTTTTTGTATCTCCAGGACTTAGCATGATGCCTGGCACATAAAAGGTACTTAATAAATGCTTATTGACCAACAATGAAGTGACCTTCTCTCGGCCAAGGCCAACCCCTTTACCTGTGCTCTTGATCCCATCCCTTCCTTTCTTCTCCAGTAGATTATCTCTTAATCACACTCACTCTCTCTTTAATCAAAATACTAGTTCCTTTCTGACTGACTACAAACTCACGTTTCCTTCATCCTTATAAAACCTTCATGAGACCATTATCCTCTCAATTATAATGCTATATTTCGCCTCCATTTTCACCCACACTTGTAGATAGGTGTCCCCAGCCAAAAAAAGCCATTATTGCCACCACACCTGCCAAGAAAGCAGCAATGACTCCTGGGAAGAAGGCAGTTGTGGCCCCTGCCAAGAAAGTGGTGATCCCAGCCAAAGTTGTCATTATACCAGACAGGAAGGAAGCCACTCCAGCTAAAGCAGCAGCCCCTCTGTCCAAAGGGGCAAAAAAAATGGGAAGCATGCCAAGAAAGAGGGCGGCCAATCTGAAGAAGACAGTGAAGACGCGGAGGATGAAGAATCTGAACTACCCAAAAGCACAAAAACGGAAGCAGCTCCAGTCAAACAATACTCTGAGGAAGGAGAGGACAAGGATGAGGTAGAAGGTGATAGTGATGAGAATGACGATGAGAATGACTGTAAAGAAGCAGCTATGAATACCATACCTTCCAAAAGGAAGGCTGTTTCTATGAATGCTGGGAAAGCCAAGAAATCAGAGAAGGAGGAGACAAAGATGAAGAGGAGGAGAGGGGAGATGTGGTGGAAGAAGAGAAACTGCCCATCAGAGAACCACTAGGAAGGAAGAAAAAGGAAACAGGCAAACAGAAAGCTCCTAAAGCCAAGAAACGGAAATCAGAAGCTGAAGCACCTACACATATCAGTCTTTTCACTGGTAATCTGAACTTCAACAAAGCTGCTTCTGGGCTAAAAACTGGCATCATGGACTTATTTGCCCCCTCCCCCCATGACCTTACAGTTGTGGACATCCAAATTTGGTACCACCAGGAAGTTTGGCTATCCAGAATTTAAGCCAGCTGAAGACGTGGAAAAGGCTTTGGAACTCAATAGCTCCAACGTCTTTGGCTCTAAAGTAAAACTAGAAAAGGTAAAAGAAAACAAAAGATTGAGATGAAGGATGCTCATCAAGAATATGCCTTATAAAGTAACTCAGGAGGAAATCAAGAAGTGTTTGAAGACACAATTGAGGTTAGGCTCATCCGCCCCAAGGATGGGATCCCCAAAGGAATCACCTACATGGAAATTTAAGACAGAAGCAGATGTGGACAAAGCCATGGAAGACAAACAGGGAACTGAGACTGGTGGTTGGGCACTCATTTTGGACTACACAAGGGGGAAAAATAAAAGACAAGAATTTGAGAGGTGGGAAGAATAATTCCTGGAATGAGAATAGTAGCAAGCCAGCAGACTCACAGACATTGGTGCCAAATAACTTTGCCTGCAATGCCCATGAAGAAAGTCTGCAAGAGGTGTTTGCGAAGGTGATGTCAGTCAGCTTGCTCCACGGCTGACCTAAAAGAGGGTACACGCTCATTGAATTGGCCTCTGCAGAAGTTGCAAAGGAAGCTAGAATTCTTGTATCAAGACAGAAATTGAAAGCAGAGCAATCAGGCTGGAGCTTAAGAGCCAGAAAACAAGTCCTACAAAACTTTGTTCATCAAAGGTCTATAAAAAGACACAACAGAAGAAGCATTGAGAGATTCATTTCATAGCTCAGTAGGTGCCAGGATATTCACAGAAAGGGAGACAGGGTTGTCTAAAGGGTTTGGTTTTGTGGACTTCAACTAAGAAGAAAATGCTAAATCTATGAAAGAGGCCATTGGAAGATGGGGAGATTGGTGGAAACAAAGTTACTCTGAACTGGGCCAAGCCCAGTGGCAGCCATGGTGGCTTCAGTGGCTAAGGAGGCAGAAGAGGAGGCCAAGGGGACTTTGGTGGCAGAGGCTGAGGAAACTTTAGAGGTCAGGGTAGTTTCTGAGCAGATGGAGGAGGAAATGGAGGAGAAGGAGGAAGAAACAATAAGCCACAAAGAAAGAAAACAAAGTTTGAAAAACTTCTCCACCTCCAATCTGAACAGATTTTGAGGGGTTATTCTGTCATCTGGTCAATGACAGAGCCTTCTAAGAACACCCCAGGACAAATATGCAGGCCAGAGTCTTCTTGGAAAAACTTGGATGACATTTCAGCGGAGAGAGCATGTTGGTTTTGACTAGATGGATGTTTCATGTAAACTTTTTGAAGAGACAGGTGATGGATATAGGAGTTCACCTTTTTATCGGTGAGCTATCTTAAGTTTATAATGTTATACCCCATGTATAAAACCATTCCCCCTCTACAAATATCTATAGTCATTTTTTTTGTTTTGTTTTGTTTTTTGTTTTGGCTAGGCACTAGGGTTAAGTGACTTGCCCAGGGTCATACAGCAAGTAAGTGTCAAGTGTCTGAGGCCACATTTGAACTCAGGTCCTCCCGACTCCAGGGCTGGTGCTCTACCCACTGTGCCACCTAGCTGCCCCTATAGTCATTTTTTGTTTTATTTTTATTCTTTTTTTTTTTTGGCCGTAAAGAAAAAAGGCAAATGTTTTCTCATGGTTTCTGCGTCAGCAGCTTGTCTTAGGATATGTTAAAAGAGCCTAGCCTTGTGACAGAAAAAAAAAACACATGTCCTGTGGACATCTCAAACTCAGCGTCTAAAACCAAACCCATCCCCTAAACCCATTCTTCCGCCAAAATGCACCATATCTTTCCAGTCTCCTATGTTCACAAGCACATTGTTCACAACCTCATCACCTCTTGCCTGGGCTACTTCAATGGCCTACCAATGGGTCCCTCTTTTCTCAAGTCTCTCCCCCATTCTAATCCATCTTTCATATAACTGCAAATGTGATTTTCCTTAATCATAAAACTATGTCACTCTCCAACTCAACAAATTCCAAAGACTCCCTTTTGCCTGTTATATAGCACACTGCAGATGCTTAATAAATGCTTGCTGACTGACATAAAAGATAAATTCTTCTGTTTGGCTCTTATGGCCCTTTTCACCACGTGGTCCTGACCTTATTTTCTAGCCTCATTATGCAACACTCCTCATCTTCCCCTTTATGATTCAGACAAACTACTCTTCTCATTCCTCAAACATCCACTTCCCATCTCTGTGTCTTTATCCTGGCCAGCTCTCATGCACTACTTCCTTACCTCCATCTTGAAGAATTCCTTACTTCCTTCAAGAAAAGGCTCAAGCACTATCTTCTACATGAAGCCTTCCTTGATTCCAGCTGCTAGCGTGCTCAATTACCATATGTTCATTTTGTATATACTGACATGTTGTTTCCCCATGAATTAATGCAAGCTCCTTTAAAGCAAGACTATCATTATTTTCTTTATATTTTCTCCAGCACCTAGGACAGTGTTTGGCAGGTAATGTGCGGCTAAGAAATGCTTGTTTATTGATCAGTTGATCTTTACATTGCTAACTGGTACCAAATTCCTCTTTTGCTCCTCAGACTAACTCTATTCTTTATTATTAAGCATGATCCTTTACCTTTAACATAATTTCCCTTAGTCATTAAATCTATAGACTATATAGAACCCTAACCTGCTAGGTGGCATGCGAAATAAAGTGCTAGGCTTAGAATCAGAAAGAACTGAGTTCAGATTCTGTCTTAGCCACTTATTAGCTGTGGGACTCCGGGCAAGTCACTTAATTTCAATTTCCTCACCCATAAAATGAAGATGGGTAGACCCAGTACCTTCAAAGATCCCTTTCTGTGATATATATATATATATATATGTGTGTGTGTGTGTGTGTGTATGTGTATGTGTATGTGTATGTATATGTATACATATATTCTGTGATATATATATCGCCTATGATTCTTGCTTTTTCAGTTAGGATTCATACTGGGACACAGTCTGAATTGTGAACTGCCTAAAAAATTGTAATGTGGAATAAGGCCAACATAGATTAAAAAATCTATGGTTGTTAAAATATTGTCTTCAAGCATTTGCTTTAACATCCCATATTTGCTGATTCTTTGTGCCACAACTGCTAATGAATTCCCAAACTGATTGCTTCAAGTTTCATCTGCTTTTGATTCCCCTGTCTGAGGAGCAAAGAAGAACATGTTAATAAACAAAGAAATGGTCAAGGGGTGAGAGGGGAAGATGAGGAAAAGCAAAAGTCCTAGATGAGTGGTATTCAATAGGATTTTTTTGCTTGCCAAAACAGCAGCCGACAGTTTACCAAAGTAAAGGTCACCCTGGCAGCTAGGTGGCATAGTCCTGGAGTCAGGAAGACTCATCTTTGTGAGTTCAAATCCAGCCTCAGACACTTACTAGTTGTGTGACTTTGGGTAAGTCACTTAATCCTGTTTGCCTCAGTTTCCTCATCTGTACAAATGAGCTGGAGAAGGAAATGGCAAACTACTGCAGTATCTTTGCTAAGAAAACCCCAAATGGGATCACAAAGAGTAAGACATTACTGAAATGACTGAACAACAACA